GTTAGCTTTGCCATCTCTAAGATCCATATCCCTCCAGGTTGGCTAAGGCTTCTGGGAGGTGACGTGTGGTAATGATGAATTCCTCTTTGAGAGAGGGGTGGTCCCACCATCTCTTAAGGAGGTGGTGGTCCACCTCTTCCTCAAGAGGCCATCACTTGACCTGACAATGCTGGACAATTTTCATTCAATTTCCAACCTTCCCTTTTTGGGGAAGGTTGTGGAGAAGGTGATTGTGCAGCAGCTTCAGAGAACACTGGAAGGAGCAGATTATCTGGACCCCTTTCAGTCAAGATTCAGGCTTGGGTATGGGACTGAGAAGGCATTGTTCGCACTCTTGAATGACCTCTGGTGGGAGCAGGAGTGTAGGTGGTGTGTCTGTCCTTGTTCTTTTTGACCTCTTAGCTGGTTTTGATATCATCAATCATGGTATCCTTCTGGTTTGGCTTCAGGGTTTGGGGATGGGCCTGCATACATCTGGGACCTCCTTCTTTGAATTCAGTTAGTCTGTCTGGTAAAATCTGGAGAGAAGGCTTACTAAAGGTCCCATCAACAAGGAAATGGACCTCATGATCAAGCCTTATTGGTGATGGCCCCCCTTCTTTGGTACAGCTTATCTCTGGATATCTGAGTTACCCACTCCCTGTTACATTTTCAAAGACATGGCTTCCTTAAGACATGGCTCTACAGGAAGGCATTTAGAAATGATTGAAAAATATGCTCTCACTTAGTGGTGAGGCATCAGATTGATTGTAATTTGTTACTGTTGTCTTCTACCAATTTTGCCCCTATTGTGTAATACTTGTAAGCAGCTTGGAGTGTTAGGAAATGGAGTGGTGTACAAGTTGAAGCAATAAAGAAATAAATTAATTAGTAAATTACAGCTTTTTTGTATTCTTAATGCATGGAAAAGGCTCAGTAAATTGTTTTACCACTTACATCCATTCAGTTGCCTTCACCCTTGTCCCCTGTTTTGTCTCCTGGGCTTCACATCACAATGGTAGATAGAAGACGCCTTTCATTTACAGTATCAGAGCCAGCTGTTATCATTGGGCTTGTTGTTACTCTGTGGTATTATTCAGTGAGTAATTTGAAATGCATATCCCCAGTGGCTTCTCCCCACCATATAGTTCCTGCATTAATATACATGGACTGTCGGAAGAAATGGCACCCTTTTCTCGTAATTGGTCTGCTGTTGCTTTGTTTTGTGATATGTTAGTTAATCTTTGATAGTTTGATGAGCTACACAAAAGGAAATGTTTAGTAGCAGGCTGTCCTGAAAGGTGAGGTTAGCATTCCTTAGAGCAGTTTGTATCCCTCCCTCTCATTATAGTATATTCAGTTGCTTTGTACTTTAGCATGATTTATATGACTCACTGATTGACCTTGGGACTCACCAACCTCACAGAGCATGATGCAAATAGAAATGGATAGTAAAACTACGTGGACTGTCTTGTACAGCTTGGGGGAAAGCAGAGGGTATTCTAATAAGTGAATATATAATCCATCTTCTCAAAACGTACTCATGCAAACACTAGTAATGTCATTATTCAATATTTATAAAGAATTTATAGCAAACCTACAAATGCTGTCTTCAGTGCACAGTCCTCTTCCAGAATGTTCTAGTTTAAAATCCGGTAATAAAAAATTAGCTGATTTAAGAGCAGAATTAAGGTGAACACAGTGATGACACTCACCCAAGCCAAGAAATCGGAAGGTAAAACAGGTGCCTTAATTATAGATATATCTCATGACCATTAATGATGACATACAAAAGGCTTAAGTCAACTTGGTAACATTTTTCAGCCAGGGATAAATTTACATTTTGAGAGTATGTGATGAGTGCATACACAAAGTGGCAGGGGCATTTCCCAATTTAGGGTATAACTGCCATGGTGGGCATGGCCAGTCAGAAAACAAATGAGAAATCAAGCCTCAGTTTCTAACTTCCTGGCTATGGAACATAACTGAACTTGAGGCAGCCTTAATGCTGGTCTTTCTCTACTGAATTTCCTTGACTTTTGTCAAGGAATTTATCATTATTGTGTTGCAGTTCCAAGCTCTTTCCCTGCTTTCTTGTAAATCAGCTCCTATGTTAAATAGGATTTACTAGTGGTAATCCTGGTGCATCATCTTTTTTTTTATGTTTCAAACAATAAATTGAATTAATCATGTTTGTTAATGAGAATAAATTAATATAGTAATTGATTATGCGCCATCAAGTTGGTGTTGATTCTTAGTGACCACTTTGATAGATTTTCTCCATGATGTTCTGTCCTTAACTTGGTCCTTCAACTCTTAAAATGGTGCACGCATCCTCACAATCCTCTTCTTTTCTTTCCTTCCACCTTTCCCAGCATTAAAGCCTTCTCCAGAGAGCTAGGCCTTCACGTTATATGTCTACAGTAGGATGATTTAAGCCTGGTCATTTGTGCCTTGAGTGAGAATTCTGTGATTTGTTCAGTGATCCATTAGCTTATTTTCTTGATTGAATACAATAATACAGATATTAAAAAGGCTCCTTCAGGTGTAGCTCAACTTCTGATGGCTCTGTGGATACATTGCAGATGGTTTTCTTGGCAACAGTATGGGAATGGTTTGCCATTGCCGTCTTTCAGGATGTTTTTTCAACTTCTGTTGTAGCCTGCAGACTTCATGGGATTCTTGGTGAAGTATGGAATAGACCTGATCTGGTATAGCTTCCAAACCTGGGCAAGGTCAACTAGATGCCTCCATCTGCAAACGAACAATCCGAATCAAGGAGCCATCTTTTGAGATGACCAGAATGCCACTTGGTGTTGAGATGCCAATATTTGTTGGAACTTGCAGTTCATAATCTTGTACTGTAGGTGGAGTAACGACTAAACAACAACAACAACATTACCCAATGCTAGTGAAAGTGCATTTAGATCTTCCGCTGCTTCATAGTCATAGACCTTAACCGGCTACTCTCCAGAATGTTGCTAGTTGTTTCTGTATGATTGGCTGAAGTTCCTTCCTCCATTTTTTCCCTCTAATTTATGTTTCTTAAGTCACTGTCTTTGAAGTCTCCTTTCTCTCTGTTTTTTTCATTCTCCTTTAAAATTGCTTCATGAAAAACGGATTTTCAGACAGTCCTATGGCACCACTTCAGAGAGTGGTCAAACACCTTCCAAGAGACATAAGATTAAAGCCCCTCTGCTTCCTTTATTGAGGCCCCAATCCCTACATTTAACTTTATGAAATCACATTCAGTAACTAAAACAATAGGCACAGTATATACGCTAGATTCCTCTGCAAGATGGAATCTTTTCTAAGTCACTGGACTGGCAGCATTCTGGCTGACACTAAGCTACTATAGGCTGTTAACTGGACAGAAAGATGCTGTTATTTTTTAACTACTGCAAATCAAGGAAGGGCTTTCTTTTTTGGCAAGACTAAATCAAGTACACCAGGAGATTTCACCAAAATTAAACAGAAATACATGCCTGCCCAAAACGTGGAAGGAAGATGCCAGTTTTATCTTAACCGTTTTTAGTGGATGAGATTGAAATTGAACACAATTGTAATTTGTAGTCTGCAGTCTGTCTCACAGATCATAGATGCTTTATGAAGTTTCAGATTATTAACTTGAGAGATGCCTCTTTTTTAAGTAATAGACTTTTGAGATTTAACAGTGATAGACTTATCAACCTTTTCCCAGGGATCTCTTCTTTTTCTCATAGGAACTTGGTGACATAGCCAGGCCTAAGAGAGACAAAAATTGCCTCAAAGTCCCCCATTACGTTTCCATGACTTAGGGTGAAGTTGAACCTATGCCTCCTAGTCCAGTACCTGAACTTCTACACCACACTGGCTCCCACTAATAATAACTCTTTAGTATCTTTATTCTGACTATTTGTATGCATACATGTTATTCCACATACAGAAAGGGGAAGGAATATTTTACTAGTGAAAGTATGTTACCATACCAGCTGTCTCTTTATTTCTTTTTCTTTTTGTAATATGCTTAGTTTGAGAGCTTGTGGAATGAATGAATGAATGAATGAATGAATGAATGAATGAATGAATGAGAAGGAGGGAGGGAGGGGGAGGGAAGGGAGGGAGGGGAGGGAGGAAGGAAGGAA